ACTCTCTCTCGCTCTTCCCACCCCCCGGCTCCCCCTCCCGGCTCGCCGCTCCCCTTCCCCCTCCCGGCTCGCCGCTCCCCTTCCAAGCGGCAGCCTCGGTCGCAGAGCGTTCCGTTTTGGGGGGATTTAAACATCCCCCCGAAATTTTTGTCACCATTTAGGATTTTTGTGCACACGTGGGGACTGCCCCATGTGTGCACAAACCTATCCCTCCCCCCCCAGTGCCCCCGATGTCCAGATGTAAGGATCCGCACAGAGGGGGCCAGTTCACTATTAGATATATAGATAGTAGCTATCTTCTCCATAAGGAGTTAGAATGTTAGAAGTCACTAGAGTAGAAGGCAAGTAGTAAAAGGGCTGAAATTCTGACAAAACTGCTTTGAAGATGATTTGGACAATGTGATTTGTGGGAAAGCAATGCCATCACAGGAATCAGAGACAATGCTGGGGTGGGTATTAATGTCAGGGCAACAACACAGTTCACATGTACTTTGTCACTTTGTGTCAAGGGCAGCCACGTCACTTGAAAGGGAGAAATTTTCAGGCATTGGTCCGGCTGATGGTTGATGTGAATGATGACTGTGAGACCACATACAAAAAGAGGGATACAGGTTTCTTCCACACTGAAGTTCTGCTCTGTGTCTCTCCCACCCAAAAACCCTGCAGCTTTTTCGGGGGAAGGGGTTGGCTTCCATACAAAGTGATCATACAGTCATCCACCTTCCCGGCCTTCCCTGGCTTCAGCCCCTATTTTCTAAAATGTGCTTTACTGAAGGATTGTACTCAAAGTGGGTTTGGTCACTACACAGATGGGAAGGTGCAGATTTTCATATCTCCCTACTCACATTTGGTGCCATTCCCCATTCCCCTTTTTGCTTGCTTTTAAAATATTAATAGGTATACTGCTTTAGTGTAACAACCCTTACCACCAGTTAAAAAGATGCAGGTAAAACTTCTACAGGTTGCAGGGGGTGGGGGGCAGATGGCAAGAAGGAGAGGGTAACACGGAACCCTCCATTACATTAGCAGAGCTAATGAGGCCCCTGACCTGGATAGCCCAGGCAAGCCTGATCATCTCAGATCTCAGAAGCTAAGCAGGGCCAACTCTGGCAAGTACTTGGATGGGAGACCTCCAAGGAATACCAGAGGTGGGATGCAGAGGCAGGCTATTAAGCCACCTCTCTGAAAAACATCCAAGCCCCTAGTAGGGGTCGCCAGAAGTCACCATGACTTCCAGGCAAGCACACAAAACACAGCAGAGGCAATGAGAGTACAATGGGGATTTACCCCTTCGTGGAAGCAACCACAAATATCTCATTGCACAGTTATGGATTCACCTTAAGTCACTGCAGCCTCTACTTCTCTGGGCTAAGTAAGTGATCCAGGTCAGCTCACTAGGGAATTTCCTAATGAGCTTATTATCTACCTTGCCCTGTCAAAACACTTTTCCATGCTAACATGTAGGAATTTTGAGCATCTTCGATGTCAGCCCCTGCTGGATCTGAAACCCTAGTCAAGGCAATGGCTACAGTCCAAAGGTATCTTGCAGGAAAAAAGCAAAGCAAAGTTATTATGTATGACTTCATACATTGGAACCAGAGATTTGAAGGGGAGCAGAAAAAGTTAACAGTCTGTGACCCCCACCCAAGACTTCTTAATTTGGGGAAACATTAAGAGGGAACTCTCCTCTGAAATAGTTGTTTGTGGGGGGTTTTTTTGAATGAGTTAAATGCTTTTCAATATAAGGTTTTTCTCACTTGAAATGCCAAGTATTGCAAAGATTTTTACGCAAGACAATCTACAGCATTAGATAATTATCATTCCTGTGTATACTGCAGACATATAAGATACAAATTCAAGGATATGTTCACTTATTTAAAAAAGGCTAATTTGGTCCATAATTAACAGGCATCCATTGTATCATTTGGTTCTCCAATGCTGTCAGAAAGGTGGTCTGTATATTAAAGTTGCTTTCTTTAAAATGAAGGTGAGAAATCCCCTTAAACATACTGAATTGTTTATAAAGCACACATTATAATGAACGCTCAACTACCTGCAGCAAATTTGACTCCAAACCACCAGGTCCAAGGCATGATTGAGTGATGGAAGACATGCAGGAATGTAACTTGTCCATTTTTCTTTCGCAGGACAAAGAAAACCTGAAACAGTTTAAATAGATCTTAGTGCAACTTGTATTTAAAGTTAAATGCACATACTGGAATAGACTGTATGATCAAATGCACTGAAAGGTGATTGTCTTTCAGCTCTCATTTCACCAATGAAGATACAGACATAACAAAAGAGATTTATGAACTACTGACAACCTAAAAAAGCTCATATAATCTACCATTTTGACCAGATGTCAGATCTGTTTGGTGTCACAAGAACTGAACTAACTCATTTGATCTCTTGGCTTGGATCCATCCAAACTTTCTGCTAGTGAAGATGGAGGGAGGATTCCCTTTCACAACCAAAAAATACTGGGCTGGGGGACATCTGGGACAAGGGCTGTAGTAAGGAGGGTAAGTGGGTGAGAGAGAAGTGAAAAGGCTGGCTTGATCCAACCCCATATATCCTCCATTTTCTTTAGAAAACCTGGCATGGCTTGAGAGGGCACTGGTCAAGACCAGAGCTGCTTTTGCAATGTTAATGAAGCAGATGTTTCTAGGCTGATTGCCAGGTTCATAGCACCCCAGGGGTGGATGCAGCTTAGAAATTCTTCACATACAGGGACACAAGAGCATGACTGTACACTTCATGTGGCAAGTGGCAACCTGTGATATGGTACTTTTTTACATTACCTCATTCTCCCCCCACACACACACACACTTTTAATAAAGAGGCACAAGTTTTGCAAAACTGATTTGGGAATAGTTCTTGTACCATTTCCTTTCCTGGCCACTACTCTCGATTACTGGGGAAATTTTCTGGATGTGGGAGGATTTGTTTGTACCATTACTCTTATGTAACCATTCCCTCCTCCCAACTTACTAGTTTCTTAGAGACTATTCGGCAACATCTCAAAGAGGCCTGAAAGCCAGGCAAATATGGGGCTAAGTAATCAGGGCAACCATAGCAATAGATAATTGGCAGGTACAAAACTTTTAACTGAGGTAATATATGAGGGACAGGCGATCAGGAAAGCACAGAACTTTCCCAGCCCTTATCACCCAGATTAATTACACCAGGTTACAGGTTTGTATCTACCTACTGATGTTTACACAGCACTATTTTTTTCCTTTATGTTAAAATATACACACAGAACACAGACAGCACTGTGTATAAATTCTGAAGCACAAACTTACCGTGTCTAGCAATTCGATGAATTTAGAGAAGTAATATAGCCAGCAGACTCGAACCATCTGCAGAGAACAGAAACAATTCCAGTCTAAATGCGGCACTTTTAAAACCAGGATTTTTTTTGTTACACCTTGAAAGGCTTCATTAAAAGTGCCTAATTTAAGTAAAGAGCTTAGTAATTTTAGCTCCTTTACAACCCACACCATTTTTCAGACTAGAGAGAAGACAGGCCAGAGAAGCATCAAAAAACAGAAAACCTGCATGCCCATTGAGGCTTTTTGTTTATTTTCTGAAAGACCATACCTATAAGCACAAACCACTCTTAAAGCTTCAATGGGTTTAAAAGTCAACATATGATATGGAGATGGTGATATAAAAGAGAAAAATGTTCTTTTTGTGTATGTGTAAAGAGTATGATTGGAGCTCATGCCTCTCCTGGGTGAGTCATGCTTTTTTAATTACAGGTACATATCCACTCATTTGCAGCTCCTTGCTGTTTAAGTGGTAAACTTCAATGACCAAAAAAAGGAAAAATTACTGCAGCTTAATGGAACACAATAATTTTGTTATATTACTCACCCTTAAAGCCATAGGTGACCAAGAGTAATCAACAATGTCACAGCGAAATGAATAGCCTGTGGCCCAGCCAGACATGAGAAACTGCAGGAAGAGGAAGACATTTCAATTTGCGTTATGTTAGAATTAGCACTGTGCAGTAGTATGATACATGGTGCAGATTGGCACATATGGTATCTTCCCATAAGAGGTAGTCCACTAATAATAAGTGAGGGGAAATGTTGAGAAGAGGGATTTTTCTGGATGGGGTTTTATTCACAATTCTGCAGTGATAGGTGGGCAAAGAGCTATTCCACAAGTGACAAACAGCTATTGCCTCTGTACAATTAGACAGGGAATCTCATGTACACTAAAAGTGGAATTGGTCTTACTTCCTTCAGGCTGTCCACAGGACAAAGTTATTAGCACAGGTATGTACAGACAAGCAATCAATTAAATGTTTTGTGGGCTAATAAAACTTGAAAACTTATTTGCACAGCTACCTAGAAACCAGAAGACACGTACTTTAACAAGACCAACATTATAGCATGACAGAAGTGATAAGTCTCTGTGAAGTACCATCACTTCAAGCACACACACCTCCCAACAGAAATAAAGCCTCTGAAAAATATTCATGAAACTCTTATCAAATTTTATTGTATTATAAAATGCAAGTGGAAACCATGCCATTTACCTCTGAGCATTTTCACAGGCATATAAACAAGCTCGTCAGTAATAGCTTAATTACAAAATTTGCAGTCTAGCTCATAGAGGTGTCTTGTGAATTCCTTTAAGACACGGGTGGGCCAAACTTGTTTAACATAACAGCCACACAGAAAAAAAGTCAGATGTTTGAGACCCACAAGACATGAACAAATATTACCCACACATTTTTACTGGGAAATATGCAAATTTGCTTTTTATTAACATTAAATTAGAATGTGTGAAAGAGCTGCAGTTTGGCCACCCCTGCTTTAATAGATAGGCTGCCAATTTGGCAGAAATACCCAAGGTTCCAATGAAAGGCAGAAGCAGTGAGCCAACAAAAGCAAAGTCTCTCAGTTTTGAATGGATGATTAGCATTAAGAACATTTTAGTAAGCAAAACTGCAGAATCTAACTTTCAGCAGTGGTGAGCAATTATTTTATTTTGTTCTGATATCATACATCGACCAAACTAGTTGGTCTCATGTGCGTATCAGATGGAATGTCTCCATCTGTGTATCAGAACTTGAGAAGGTGGTTCACATGGCAGGGTTTTTCCCAGGAGCGATTCTCAGGAGGGTCTTGAGTGTTCCCTCCCCGCTCTGAACAACACAGGGTGAAGTGAAATGAACAAATCAGTGAGATTCACCCTGGTTAACATCTTCATTCGTTTTCACAGTAAAAGGGGGGGGGGCTTAAAGGAGAGAGTATTTGAACACCAATTAGTCATATTGGGTTGGATCCAGGCCAAGTTTTCAGCAAATGGAAGGCACTTGCATCAGAGGAACAGAATTTCCATGCCTTTCCCCCTCCTGCTGCAGGCCACTCATCCCCCCCAAAAAATGCTGCCTCTGGGAGACAGGGATCCTCAGAAAGTGCAGGAGGGACAAATCAGAGGTCTGCAGCAGGAAGAGGGAAATAACACCTCCCCTTCCATTAGCAGAATATTTAGTCCTGATCCGACCCCATAGTGTGGAGGGTGGCAGGAAGCACTGTCAGTAGAATTAAAGCCTCTTTATATAGATTATATATCATACAGCTGCAAAGGGGTTTTTTTAAATTAAAAAGGCCAGTTATTTTATTGTTAAAAGAGCACTGCAGTCCCAATAGAGGTTTGCTGCCATAGCATGAACGTGAAGGAGCTGGAAGGTAAAGTTTTTGCCCTTCTAGTTCCTTTCCCAAGCTTGGAATGGGCTCCTTTCTCCACATAGTTGAGCTATGAGGTGCTGCAATTCAGCACTCAGCGCCCCCCCCCCCCAATTCCAACCTCTGTAAGAAAGATCAGTTCCTCCAGACAGGTGAAATAATAATTTATCTACTCCTTTACAGTACTTACTTCGTAAGTCAGGTAAACTGAAAGAGCCACTACACCAAAGTTGTAGACAACCATGAGTTGTCTCAATTCAAAAGGTTTCCTGTTCTCCATGAACTTCGGTCCCAAATTAGTGACAAAATAAATATAGGCTGCAATAATAATTGTCTGTGGAAAAGGTGAGGCCATGAGTGGGTAACCTTCAACTCGCGGATCTAGAAGAGAGGGAAAAGCTCATCTTAGTGCTTAGCAGTTCTCAACTACCAAATGTATTTTCTCCCTAAAATGGACTGCATGTTTTAACAAGGTCATAATTCATTAAAAGTACAGGTGCATTCATTTAAGGAATTTATAGCCTACTTTTCAGCAATAATAAAATCTAGTATCTGATAAAGTACAAAATGCCATGACCAATAAAAATAGTCAAAATAAACTAAAAGCAATAATAGTTTTCTATAATCCGAATGGACCTCTAAACTACTAATGGTCTGTAACGAACAGACAAGTTTTCTAGGCTGTCTGAAAGTCACTTAGATCACAGGTTCCACAAATTGTTGCTAGAAGCTGGAAGTTTAGGATACAAAATGAAGAATGCTTCCCTATAGTTATGAACCTAATGAGTAAATATCACCAATATATTATCTGATGCAAGGAAGAATATGTGAGAGAAAGCACCCTGGGTCAAAGATTTGTAGTTCCAATACCCTGACTTTGGATCTGAAGGACATTGGTTAAAAAAAAACAACAACCAGGTATTGAACGCTCGCTGTGACTAGGTTTTTCACTTGGGACTCAAATAAAGCTTTTCTCAACTGTCATGAAGCTACAGACCCTGCTCCAACCTACTTGGTGCCCAGTGATGCCACTCATTTTTGTTTCTTGTAACAAACCTTTGGGTAGTGCTCAATATCAAAGACTTGTCAGTCTTGGAGAGCACACACTTTCAGATTTCCTTGTTGGGAAATCGAGTCATACTTATTTTAAAGCCTCACTTTTACCTATTACAATACGATCTCTGAAATGGAATATTGAAACCACTATAGGTATTCATTTTCCATTTCTTGCAGTATTTCCAGGAGACTCAATTGCCTTCTTTATTGCATTCTTGTATCTTCTGACAGCATAACTGGATTCGTCTACCTTTTGGTAACTGTACAAGAATATGCAAAAGATGTTAACAATTGGGAATTATTTTTTTAAAAGTTGTTTTAGACCTCCAACATTACTATAAGGGTTGTATTCAGTTCCATGCATTTGCAATACCATGGTAGCACATTTAGCAATCTCATATAAAGTTATTCTGTGGGTTACCTGGATTTAGCTGATCCCCTGTTGTGTAATTTTTCATCAGAGAGCAGTCATGCAGATAGAGTGGAATGCCCCTGGTTGAAACTGAGACTCCAAGGCCACTTTAAGTCCCAGCAGGGTTGCATGCCCTGGTAACACCTATATTATATTTCTGCAATGTGCTCTATGTGGGGCTGCTCTTGAGAACTGTCCTGAAGCTAGTTAGTATGTTGATTAGAATGCTGACCGGAGTGGGTTGTAGAGACCATATCACTCCAGTCTTGTGTTGGCCTGTAGCTACAGTGGGGCTACTGGGGGCTCTGCCCCCTTCCTTTAAGGACCAGCCCCACAAGATTTTTTTGAAAAGATTTTTTGAGAAGAATGGGGGGCATATGCACGCCTTCCCACTTCTTCTCAAAAGCATTTAAATGGATCCTTCAAATGCTTTTGAGAAGAAGCGGGGGATGGTGCGGGCCCCTCACCCTCCACTCCTGCAAGATTTAAAGGGCCCTCCAGCTGATTGGTGGGCCACGTGCTCCCTGCCGATCAGCTGAAGGGCTCTTTAAATCTTGTAGGAGGGGAGGGTGAGGGGTGGCTGCCGGTGATCAGGCTTGGGGGTGGATTGGAGCTGACATAAAAATAATGGCAGCCCCACCAGAAAAAAATTCGCCCCACAAGCCACAAAATCCTGGCTATGGGCCTGGTATTGTTCCATCTATACTGGCTCCCAATTTGCTTCTGGGCCCAATTCAAAGTGTTGGTATTGACCTTTAAAGCCCTATATGGCTTATGGCCTGCATACATGAAGGACTGTCACATAGGAACCTACCTATCTACTCAACTCATCTTTGGAAGCCCTGCTTCAGGTTCCCTTGCCATCTGAAGCTAGATGGGTAGCAACCAGAGAAAAAGTCTTTGTCATGGTGCCAAAACTTTGGAACTACCTCTACAGAGAGATTAGTCTGTTGCACTCTATCATTAGTCTGCCTCCCTCTATGCCAACAACAGGGCATATAGCCCCGGCCTGGTGGTACACGCTCCCATGTGAGATCAGGGCCCTGCGGGACTTGTTACGGTTCTTCAAGGCCTGTAAAATGAATCTGTTCCGCCAGGTCTTTGGTTGAGGTGGTGGGCATTCAGTCTATCTTGGCTCCCCTGCCCACAGAATTGCCCACAGAATTATATCACAGAAATGTATTATTGGATTAATCATCCTGCAGGAGATATTAAGGACTGCCCTGGAGTTTTACCTGGTTACTGCCATCTTGTTCTATTGATGGTTTTAACTTGGTTTTTATCATATGCTATTATTTATTTATGTCTTTGATTGTTGTGAGCCGCCATGAGCCCATTCTGGGATAGGGCAGGATATAAACCAAATAAATAAATAGTCTTCCACCAGTGGGTGAAGACTTTAAAAAGTTGTCCGGTGAACCCCTTCCCCAGTAATTGTTTTTGGCCCTCCTCCCTTACTGTATTAGGTGTTTATATGTGTTTACTGAATTGTTTATTTTAGATATACTTTTAACTGCTGCTTCAATGTTGAAATGTTTTGATCCTTGCTGCCTTGGAGACCCTATCTGGGCAGAAAGTCAGCATAAAAAGGGTTTATAACAGGGCAAAAGGTAACCCAGGGACAGTTCTGATTGGAGAATTGTCATGGGAGAGAACAGCTAGCATTCTCTCCATCACTGTGTCCCCAATCCATATTACCCCCTCTAAGCAACTGCTTTTGGAGCCTCGATTCCACGTTCAGAAATCCACATAGTTCCCTCAGTGCCGCATGTCCTGTATTTCACCAAATATAAGGCCAGATCCCCCTCCCACAATATGCCATAAAAAATGTCTTAAATTTGCATACAAGTTAGTTATATCCAATAATAAAAAATCTTTTGGAAATCATGTTCTATGGGAAGTGGTCTTCCTTTTGAGTAAATATGGTAACTGGATCCTCAATCTCCACATTTAAGTATAGAACTATGGATTGCAAAGAACTAAAATATTAACCGAGAAAGCTTAAATCTCCCTTTATTTTTATTTTTTTTAAAGTGTGGGTAGTACCAATCTTAGCCTTTTTCCCCTCTTCATAACTACTGTATTATGTTTTTTGTCCTTTTAAAGAAAATGTTATTGATGATGACACTCAAAACATACATTAGGTGCTGTACAGAAGTGACCCAGACCCAGTTCACAATCTAAAAGATATAAGACAAAAATGAAAACATTGAGTTAACCTAAGTGAGACCACAAAAGCAAAAAAATAAACTTTATAAATAATTATTATGAGTAGGAAGAGACAAATATTTTTTTCAGAGAATTTATATGTTACTTCTCAAGAGACCTACTTAAGGCAGTGAAATTAGAGTGGTAGTATAATGGAACAGGAGATAGCTTCTATTAGGAACATAAGAACAGCCCTGCTGGATCAGACCTATGGTCCATCTAGTCCACCATCCTGTCTCACTCAGTGGGCAACCAGTTCTTCTGAATGGCCAACTACAGGGCATATAAGTCTATTGAAATGTTTATTGTACCTATCACCTCCCTTTTTTACTGCAATGCCCTCTACTTTTGTAACCACCTTTCTTCATTATGGCATGACATGGCCTTAGACAGTTTTTCATTTGCATTGTTTTCCAGTTCTGTAATCCTACCCCAACTGCATTATTTACTGGAGGCCCTCCTTTCTTTTTTTTTATTGAATTTTGTTCCACATTTTGTAAACCTCCCTGAGTCTCAATTTGAAAGGTGAGATGATGATGATGATGATGATGATACCAAAAACAAGATAGGAAAAGTAAAAAGAAAGAGAAGCAACAAATGAATATGTGAAGGCAGAGATTTCCACATGAGCCTGAAGGTGAGAAAACAGAGTCATTCATCAGTTGCAGGTGAAAACAAGTTGAGACAGAACTCCCTAAGCAGGGTTTTCTTGCCCAACTAAATACTCAATATCACTACCATTTCCTCCCACTCTTTATGTTAACACCGCTTATTTCGCAGCACCCCAAGATACTACTGCATACTAACCCCACTATCACAAGAGACTTGCGCTCACAAGGTAACCAGAAAAAGAAATGGAAAAGGCTTGATAATTAGGTCCCTACTATCTTCTTGAAGGTGTGATGTAGGCAAGAATCACATCCGTGGGGAACAGTCTGAAAAACAGGTCTGTATTTTCCTGCGGGGTCCATATTCAAAATCCTTTCATTACAAGAGCAGCTTTCCTTCTTACTTAACCTTCAGGGAACCCTTTCTACAGAAAAAGATTCCTTGGTCTCTGAAACTTTAAATAAGTGCCGCTAGGAGGAAAAGCAGTGGTCACTTATGAAGGTAACCACAGAGGCAATGGTGTCAGAATTTCCTCTCCCCACTCTTCTTCCTCAAGCTGCTGCTCTTTAAAAACTATGACCATAAGGGAGGTAGCCCACAATCCAGAACTGTGGATCAGGTAGCACCAGATGAGGACAGACTTTTAGTCACTCAGGCAGATAGATGCGAGTGCCTACAGCTTCTGGCTCTTCCTGGCAGTAGTGGGAGGGGAGAGAGTAGACAGGACAAGATACTATAAACCAGTGGTTCTCAACCTTCCTAATGCCGCGACCCTTTAACACAGTTCCTCATGTTGTGGTGACCCCCGTTGCCAGAGCGACACGTAGCGTCATGTCTTGGCAACGGCGGGTGCAACGCGTCTTGCCGTCCCCGCGGCAGGGATTCTGCAAAGAGATGCAATCCCCCGCCGCGATTTGGCGAGACTTGGAAGCCCTATCCTAAGACCATCAAAAATTTGTGTTTTCCGATGGTCTTAGGCGACCCCTGTGAAAGGGTCGTTCGACCCCCAAAGAGGTCGCAACCCACAGGTTGAGAACCGCTGCATAAACAATCATCTCCCCTTTCTTGGATGTTAGATGCCATCACCTACCTTTGC